GGCATGTCATACAGAGACAGCACTTTTATCGGGACTTCTTCTTCAGGGAAGGTTTTACTCCAGTAAATTTTTCCAGGACTTTTGTGTACTTCCTTCCAGCCGCCTTTTTCCAAATCATTCTTGAACCACTTGGCTCTCTCAATCTCCTTGTCGTACGAAAGAGAAGCGACAAAGTCTTCTTTTGACTGCATACTTAGTTGTATTGGCTCCGTATACTCACTCGGAAAGATTATAGACGTGGCTTTATACAGATGCTGCGAATTAAGGGAAACCATATTAGAAGTGAAGTGAATTTTCCAGGAAAAAACAAGCTTGGTCCAAACGTCATCCCACTTAGTGAAAAACAGAAACATCAATTAGATAAACAAAGGTGTTTTTGGATTTCGAGAAAGCCATTAAGTGAACTTATTATATGGCAAACTGGTCCGCGACGAAAAGGAGCATTCTGACAGTGGTTCCCTGAGCGGTCCGCATTTTGCAATACGGACTGCTAAGATGGACCGCTAACGAACTCATTCGCCGAATTCCTTTTATGAAACATTGAACAAAGGAAAACTGTTTTCTATTAAGTAGAAACATTTTTCCTTATGTCTGGCGGACAATTTTGGGCTTTTTTGGCTAAACTTTTCGCAAAGTGGCCTGAAAAATGCAAGAATATGCTTAGCTTTGGCGCGCGCGCGTTAGCCGAGAATGGTTACATTAATTTATCAACAAATTTTTAAAAAAGCCATTATAATAAAAACTTTATTGAACTAGCTTGTTCGGTCCGTATTGGGAAAATATTGGTCTCGTTCTTTTTTGCAAGTTTATGGACCGAAATAGATATGTCCAAAATAGTTGTTTTACAATTTTTATCCTCGGCTTAAAACGCGGACTCATAGAAACTATGACTAGCTGTTGTAACAGAAACAAAAACTTTATGACGAAACGAACTACAAGTTCAGTGGCATTCCGTACATTGAAAAGCCACGCTGCCATGAATTCACAATAAACTAAAGGCCCAGTTCAGACGCCGTACTTCACATGAGCCGAATCGAATTCGATGAATTAAGTTCGTGTGAGGTACGGCGTCCTGAATCAATTCGGAACGGCTGAATCAATTCGGATCGGCTCAGCCGTCACGGCTTCCCGCCTGGCTCAGATCAGCCGGGAATAACGGCTGTGGACCGGCTTTGATTCAGACGCCGAACTTCACATGAGCCGAAACAATAGCATGAATTATTATAATATGTATTTTCAATATAACAGCAATTTTCCCTTATTACTTAAGTTCGGCTGAATTAAGCTCGGCGTCTGAATCAATTCAGCCGGTCTAAATTAATTTGGGTCGGCCTAAATTCGAATTCGATTCGGCTCATGTGTGTGAAGTACGGCGTCTGAACTGGGCCTAAGGGACGCAATATAATGCATTCATTTCAGTGTTGTTCACAACAACTGAACAAATGTTAATTTTGTTTGAAGTGTTGCTTGTTGCCCTAAATCACGCTTTGAAAAAAGACATTCGACATTCACGTTAAAAACGAACTCGTATTAGTCAATTTCAGTGGTTGGTGTTATCTTCTAAACCTTCAAATCTTTGCATTTTGAAGGTCGATTCCGCTGAAACTTAATAGGGATATTGGCGGATGATATAATTACATCAGTGATTGTCGTTTTACTGGCAGATCGCAATTTACGATGATATTTTAAGCTACTAAACCTAGAATTGCCGAAAATCAATTTTTGTGTCCAAGCTTTCAGCTTGAGAAGCGTTCTAAACTAAATGATTGTTTTACCTAGTGGTACATCATAACCTCCTTTGTGATGTGACAGAAGCAGATTTTGCAATTTCAAGACTCGTTGAAAGTTATTGCCTTCCAAAGGAGTAACATTTTGAAACATTCTATCTTCTTTTGAAAAGGCTTTTTTGCAATTCTGCTTCTGCTTCAGCTACCCACGTAATAATTATAAAAGCAATATATAATTATAATAAGAACCTTCCAGAGTCCTTTGCAACTGGAAATTTTTCAATGTCAAATAACTTTGTCAATTTGAGGCCCAGAAGGGTGAAGCACCACAAGGTAATAGCTAAGCACTTACCATAAAATAACTCTCATATCAAACTTAGTGTGATGACGTCATTAGTCACGTGACCACGCCCGAAAGTGCGTTTTTGTTTACTGTGAGAACAGGTCTCTATCAATTGAAAAGTAATCAATATTGTCAGCAAGACATTGATATGGGGAATTTTGAAATGGCCATTAATATTCTGGCATTTTAAATTTAAGGGGGCTATACACGAGTGCAAAAATGTGTGGAAAATTTGTTCAGCTATATCTCACGAAATGTAAGGCGCATAGCAACAAAAATCTACATGTGGATAGATATTTATGTGAAGAACACGTTTTTGAACACGTATCTTACGTGACGTCATCAGTCACGTGACCAGATCGCTTTGAATATTTCAAATTGCTTTAAAAGTACATTATGCCTCAATAAAACAGCGCCTTATTCCTGTTAGTTGTAGATATTGAAGTAAAGTTTATCAAAAGGGCGATTATTATTTTTTCTTTTAAATATCAGGGAAGAGCAGCGCATGAGCAGCGCATGAAAATTTGCTTGTTATAAAAGTAATATATAATAATGATAAGAACCTTCCCAGAATCCTCTGCAACTGGAATTTTTTCAATGCCAAATTACTTTGTCAATTTGAGGCCAGAAGGATGTAACTCCACAAGGTAATTACAATTTCCATAAGGTAATTCTCATATCAAACTTAGTGTGATGACGTCATTAGTCACGTGACCACGCCCGAAAATGCGTTTTGTTTACTGTGACAATAGGCTTCTATCAATTGAAAAGCAATGGATGTAGTCAGCAAGACATTGATATGGGGCATTTTGAAATGCCCATTAGAATTCTGGCATTTTAAATTTAAGGGGGGCTATACGCGATAGGAAAAATGGGTGGAAACTTGGTTCTGCAATATCTCGTAAAGTATACAGCGCATAGCAACAAAACTTTACATGTATATAGATGTTTATATGAAGTAACGGTTTTGGCAACTTCGTCACTGTGACGTCATCGGTCACTTGATAAGATTGCTTTGAATATTTTCAAATTGCTTTAAAAGTACATTATGCTCAATAAAACTGCAATTTCTTTTTAAAAAATAGTAAATATTTCAGTAAGGTTTGTTAAAAGGGCGATTATTATTTTTTTCTTTTAATGATAAGCAGATTATGCATTATACCGTGTTGGCTTGCTCACTCTGTTCATTGGTTTTTAAAGTAAAGACTAAAAGTAAACTTCGATGAGAGGTTTGGGCTTATCCCCTTCCTATATGAGGTGACAGTTTTTCCCTAAAATCTCCGCTATATTCATAGAATAGATTTGGTTTTGCCTAAATAACCGACAGGGCCTGGGTTCGAGGGCCTGGGTCGAGGTGTGGAACGAGACACTATTGCTATCTTACATGACGTACTCAGCGCTTACCAGCGGTTACCCAGGTTGATTTGTTTTGTTCCGAGTCTGCTCGAGTTTTGCTCGCAAATGCACATGTACATGTAGTGCTTTTGGACAGCCAACAAGACTGCTTTTGATGTTGGGTTGCTCAAGTCGAGTCATCAGCTGTCGAGGGAAACAGACTGAGCTACCAGTATTCAGTAAGTGTTTCATTCGGTGGAAAACATCGGCGTACAAATCTGGAGGCAGACCAGGACTTTTTGGCGAGATGTATGAAGCTTACCATTCATGGCGCTGGAAACTCACGTACACGTTTTGCCGCTTGTCGAGTACGTGAAAACATCGGTCTGTCATTACCGTTTAAGCATTTTTAAGGACTGGACTTCTTTATCGAGGCATAAAGTCGAGGGAATCAGCAGTTCTATAAATAAGGTAAGTTAATTCGCGAAAATATATATTGCTTCGCCCTTTAGCTTATAAATTATAAGCTTATGGCCACGATCAGGGGGGGCAGGCAGCGCCCTTTGATCTTGCCGCTTTTCCGCAATACATGATCGCACAAGTAAAGAAATCTGTCAATCATTCGAGAAACGTACCTCTACGGGAGTTTGCTGTGGAATTTTCATCCATGGTGTCCCACAATGACCAAAGTTCAGTTAAACAGCGACCGAATCGTTCCCATAGATGTTTGGACGTGGAATCGCCAAAATATTTCCGAACGAACACAAACGCACGTCATGTCAGCCATCGTCGGCCATGTTTATTTTAAACAAACCAGTACTTAGTCTCGCTCGGCCAAATTTCTAAAATGTGCAATCATATATACTAGGTCCCAGGCCTCGCTGCTAGCCCCCCCTGGCCACGATGTTTGGTTTGGTTTTGACAGATACTGTGGGAAATGATTAAAATTAGTTTTACTGAGGAAACTAACTGCATGCAATAGCATGGTCGCTATTTTGTCTGCTTTCAGTTATGCTTTCATGAAAATTATACTAGTTGCTCGATTGTACAGTTACTGAGAATTGTGTCGCCCACGCTTCTAAAATAAATCGATTTGTAAACTGGGTAAAATTGTTTTTGTTGCTGGAATGTTAGAGTTAAATTGGGTTCAAAATTAGTTTTGTCACTGCATGGGTTCAGAGTTGTTTTGTTTTTGTCTGGACCATTCAGCATATTTGTTAAATGCCATTCTAGTTGTAGCTTCAAAATTATTTTGCTTGACATTGGGATAAAAATTATGTTTGACTGTGTGTATTTTATGTTGCTGGACAGTTTTGAGCTGGGATTTGTTGCTGGGTTTGCTCTCGCTTGAAAACTATTTTTATCCATGATGTGGCACTATCTTGGATATTATTTTAGTTGCTACATGTAGATCATTTGTGTGCAACTTTTGATGAAATTGCTGTACTTAATTCTTGCACAGAGTTATATGTTTTTCATCCAGCTAAGATTGTACCATTTTTGCATGTGCCTAGTTTATCAGCCAAACTTAGCAATTCTGTCAAAAACAAAACATACCACCTTGATGTGAAATATTTAATTTAAATGCACTGGGAGACACAGTGGCCTAATGGTTAGTGCGCTGGACTCCGGACCGAGCAGCCGGGTTCAAGCCCTGGCTGGGGTAACTGTATTGTAATCTTGGGAAAGGTATTAAATTTCAAGTATCCTGTTAATAATTAATAAAGGTATTGGGGTTTTATTATCATTCACAAGTCATTTTTGGTACAATTAGTTTGTTTTATAAGTAATGATGTTGTCTTTGAACTGCGTCACTCGAAAACGAATTACCTGCTATGTCAACAGTGGTCTTTCATGGGCTTGAATTATGTTTACATACATTATCACATTGTTATCAAATAAGCTATGTTCTGACACTCTGTGGTTTACCGATCAACGTTAAAATAGAGTTTGAGTTGTTGGGGTAAATTTGAGCCAAGGAAAGTAAAATTAGTTTGAGTTAGTGGGGAGTTCCAGTTAACCAGAGTTCAGTTAGCGGGTTCTACCTTACTGTACTGCCAATAGTTTTCATAACCATGGTTACACTTGACTAAACATGACCATTGTAAATTAAGTCATCAAAATCTGGTCTATTTAATAGTTGTATGGACACAAACCAACTTGCAAGAACATTAATTAATAATTTATTTACGCTTTGTTTTTTTTGCAGGATATTACATTCATAGCCTCGGTCTGTTATTTGGCATTGCTATCAGACCAGACAGGAAGGCAATAAGCTTCTGACCAGGCACTACCTACAGTTCAGTATGTACTGTAAGCCCACCAATGATGCAGTTTATATTAAGTGACTTCCAGAATAAATTAGACCTATTTAATGTCCGTGAATCATTCCATGTTTCCAACATATGTCTTAACAAGTAATGTAACGAGGGGACCTATTATAATTATAACCTTATGATTTCTTCATAGGCCCCTCGCCACTTCCTGTATCAGTTAATTTATTTTTTCTATTATTATTTGTAATGTTTTATATGTTTTGTGTGGCAAATTACCACTCATTTCAATGCTACGCGACCTTTTGAAATCAAATTGGCCAATAGACGTCCGTCAATCATGCGTACCCTAAATGGCTTTTCTCCTGCTGTGCGACAAAATCATGCACGCATGATTGTAATGTACTGAAAGGCCACTGCTTTCTACTTTTACACTTCGCTACCGCCATTTGCAAAGGAAATTTTTCTGGATCCGTTGTCGTCGTCTACAAACAGAGAAACGTCCGAAAACAGCAACTGACTACGATTGCGTTTACACGACACAAATTTGCATAATAACGTCCGGACATGTCTCGTCGTATCGTTTACGCATGATTGACGGAAGTGTATTGTCAACTTTACAGTCAGAGGTTTGACTTCAAAGGTCGCTGTAGCAATGAAATCAGTGGTAATAAACAAACAAACAAATAAAGATGAGAGAAATGATTGTGCAACTGGCTAAAGAATTGAGAACTTAAAATAATTATAAACCTTTTCTGTAGGTTTAAGTGGTTTAAATTCAGTATTATAATGACTGTGACTAAGACAGTACAAGTCACAGTGGAAAGCTGTTAATATGACCACTGGCAGGCCATAAAATGATTAGGCCCAGTTCAGACGCCGTACTTCACATGAGCCGAAACGAATTCGAATTTAGGCCGACCCAAATTAATTTAGGACCGACTGAATTGATTGAGACGCCGACCTTAATTCAGCCGAACTTAATTAATAGCAAAAAATTGCTGTTATATTGAAAATACATTATAATAATTAATTGCATTTGTTTTGGCCTCATGGGAAGTTCGGCGTCTGAATCAAAGCCGGTCCACAGCCGTTTTCCCCGGCTGAGCCAGGCGGAAAGAACGGCTGAGCCGATCTGAATTCAATCAGCCGTTCCGAATTGATTCAGGACGCCGTACCTCACATGAACTTAATTCATCGAATTCGATTCGGCTCATGTGAAGTACGGCGTCTGAACTGGGCCTTAGACATACAGTGTATTATAAGTGGGGTCAGGTCCTGTTAACAGGGTACATGCACATCTAGGTTAAATTTATGGTACCAGTTCTGATACCTTTTAAATGATTTCATGACAGATACTGATTAATTCTAAGTCCCAAAGGACTCCTGTTTGCAGTACAGCAAACATGACTGATGCACGTCATTGTACATTGTAACTGTAGCTACAATTTATTTCGCTTTTTATTTGCCTTTGTCACTTACCTCACTGGAAATTTATATTGGTTGCATTAACAGGACTCATGAGCTTTTGTTCCAGCCAAAAAAGTGGCTGTATTGAGATGTTGTTAAGGTGGCATTCCACTGTAAGTTGGTGAATAATTCAAGACCAATACAGTCTGACAACATGTAACTGGAATGGGAATATAGTGCTAAAAAGTCTGTACTCAGTACATTAAGCCTAAGTGGCTGATTAGTCTGATTGTTTGGGGTTTTTATTATTATTTATTTAATATTTCATTGATTGACTGGCTGGCTGGCTGATTGATTGATTGATTAATTTATCGATTGATGGTTTAATTGGCTGACTGATTAATTGACTACCGGTATTTGATTGATCCAATCAATCAATCAATCAATCAATCAATCAATCAATCAATCGATTTATCGGTCAATAGATCGATCCATTTTATTAAAGAACCCAAAATATTGAATTTGATTCTTGCTTTATTAGTGTGCAGCATTTGCTGAAACTCTGGCAAACAATTTTACTAACAAATTTGCATGATTTTCGCGGCAATTTCTAAACCCCGCTAAAAATAAAATTAAGGGCAGTAGGTGGTATCATATTTACCATTTTCCATTATGACAATTAAATTATATATTGCTTTTATCCGGTTCTACTTGTAATAATAATAATAATAATTGATATTTAAACAGGGTAACCCCTTCAGTCACATGACTGTTATCAACGGGGGCCCTGTGAGAATCGCAACGTGCAAAATTCTAAAGAATTTCTACTCTAAAACGAGGCGTTTTAGGATAATTAACATACATACAAAAGAATAATAAATCGGCAGCCATTTATGAATACGGTCTATTGGCTGTTGGAAATAAAGAAGAGTTCTTTTGTTTACAGTCAGAAGGGCCACAACCATCAACAGTTTAGAATTTGTAGTTAGCCAACGTCTTACTGTTTGGGGTTAAAAAATGGTTTAAATAACGATTTTATGATTCGTTCGTAGTATAAAACCAGTTAGTATTGGTCAGTTTTGACGTATGTTATGGGTTGCCTTAAAAATTAGTGCTTCGGGCAGCTAGCGGCTCGATTCTGTTGTGCTAGGGAATAAAGTTATTGTGGCTTCGAATCAACTCAATTCATGAACTGTGTTCCCTTTTTTTGTGGAAAAAGTCTTAGTGCCGCCATCTTGAATCTTGAAGTGGGCGTAAAACAACCCAGTGCTATCTAGTCCAGTCAACCTATGAAAAAAAGGGGTCAACCTACCACTAATTGCAAAAGAAGGTATCTCAACGGTTTTAGGTCCAGAAAGACTTCATATATAACATATAAAAAGTCTCCCAAAATCGCAGTAGGGGAACACGTTCAAAATTAGGGTTTTTCATGTCGAGTTGGCGAGCAAAATTTTACGGCATGAAAACGAGGCTCCACTAAGTACTTCTTAATCTTGGCTGTATTTCGGCTTTGTTTATTACAAAAAAAAATGACTGTTTACAAGTAATTGATAGAAAATGTTTAAATAGTAATAAAACAATTCAAATCCATCACTGACTATACTAGCATTTGATTTACTGAGCCGAAAATGTTTGTGTTTACATGTATTAAATGATATTTGAAGGGTATCTAGAAAATTCATAGCTATTTCGTTTTCTTTGTTTTCGTATTCTTATATGTAATTTAAAACATACGATTTTAGCACTCGTCTGTTAGAATACAAACTCAAAGTGCAGAACTGTAGAGGAACTTGTAAAGAATTATAAATATATCTACAGAAAAAAGGCGCGAAAAAATGCAAGCAGGAGTTTGTAAAGTTTGCAAGCGCTTGTCGCGACAATGTAGATTTCTCAGTCTGCTTTTTTCCCGCCGTCACACGAAAGAGAAGTGGTTGTATCTACATGTTATTATTCGTGGAGTAAATTGCATCAGATTCTTAGCTTTGGAGCGCTTATTTGCAGGTAAGCATTGATTATTCTGTTTGTCTATAAAAATAATCCTTATTTTAAGCGACTAGATTTACGTGTCAATACTAAATACGGGTTTTTTCCCCCGGCAAGTGCATTACGAAATGTATGAAGAACTCTGCACATGCTACTAACGTAGCTAATATTTTGTTTATAAACTGGATAAAAAATTCTTGTAGAATCAAAATGTAATTGTGTACACTTCTTAATTGCCTTTTGTATATATAACACAAATGTATCCTTCATGTAGTGAGAAGGAGTGAGCGATCTCTGGGCAGGCCTGTCTACAGACCTCGTCATAGAGCAGACTTTGATGAGAACGTGGAGGCCTAACAAGAGGGCGGGGCATGACGGAGCAGCAGCGCCTGACTTGGCTTTTCGCAATGCCCGCATGCGCCGAAGTGAATAGCGTCATGCAAGAATTGACCGGTGTTGCTTATAACACAAGCGAGCAGAACAAGGACATGTCAAGTACAAGAAAAGAGCGCGACGTCAAGATACGTTAACTATCCTTTCCGCTCTTCAAGACCGCAGTCCCTTTTCACCAGACCCACACTTAAGAAATATCATGAACGGGGTACACGGGGACAGTGCTGTTAATGTTGACAAAGCTCGTATAATTGGAGAGAAAGTCATTGCATCTATGACTGGACGGTCAGCGACAGAGTACTCGTTCAAGAAAAGTGCGCAGGCCATTACTCTCGCAAAGAAATCTGCTGTTAGAATTGACAATGAGCAGGTAGAGATCGACCCACAGCTTCTGTTCCAGCGCTTGATCTTGGCGTCCAACACTAGCGAAGACCTCCCCACGATATTTCGCTATGAGCTTAGCAGTTACCCGACATCTCTGTTTGATTCAGCACTGATGCTACGGCAGGCCAATAAGCCAGCTCTGGCCGATGCTATTTGGTCCAGGCTCTCTCCACAAGTAATAACCGAGAAAGTGCCTTGTGTTGCTGACGTACAATACGTGCTGG